CATATGAATAACTTGTGACTTGACTTCAGACTTGAGGTCTCGTGTTGATCAGAAAGCATCTTAAAGTAAATGCCTGTACTGGAGTTATTTCTGATTACTAGCAGTGGAATTCAAAGTAAGATGCAATTGGTACTCAGTAATTAGAAGCTCGTAAAAAAGAACAAATCTTCAAAAATGATACACAAAAGTGTACAATACTTGATGAGTCTGCAGATTGTCAAAGAAACTGTTACATATACTTTAATGTAGTCTCACACTGAGTATCCAAGAGTATGATTTCAGATCCGATATGAAGGATATCCATTTCATTTCCATTGGATCATGTGCCTGGGATCTTCCGGCTGATTTAACTTAACTTTAGACTCTGCACCTAGGACCTCTCTGATGAATACACCTTAAGGTCCAGCACTCTAGATACTCCAGCTGTATGTTACCCACTTGCAGATCCTACAGCTCAAATATCCCAGATCCAGATGATGTATTTGCGCATTTTAGAAAATCCTACACTCAAGATATGCCAGTGAATGTTAGCGACCTTCACGGATGTTGTACCTCCTGTATATCAAATGTTTAGGCATTTGAATATTTCAGTATCCACCCTCAGTATATGTAACCAAGATATAGGAGAGTCATTTATGAAGTATTCAAAATATCTTTAGTTTCTTTAGAGGGCATTTGAGGATTAATAGATGCAGATATACAAGCCGATTTCTGAATTCATTCGTGCCATTTTCAGTTAGAGTGTTTAATAGAAATAAAGTATCTTGAGTTTTGTTCTTATGTTTTTAAACATATTATTTTTGTTTCACTGTTCGTAATTTATCTCAATGCATGTACAATTTGTCTGTCTATGTATGATTCAAAACTCTCAGTTTTTAGTGTTTTTAACTGCAATTTTAATTGGGGTTTTGACAGCAGCAGACGTGAAAATTTTCCATTTTATTTGTTTGAAATGGACAATAAAGGATCCTTTAATCTTTTTTATAATCTCATCTCATTCCCAATGTTGCCAGTGTAATATTTTGTGTTCTTTCCGTCGCCCACCCATTATTTCTGTTTTTGGTTGTTTGTAGTACCAAGAGGTTCTGGACATCTGCTGTGCAGCGGCAACTCTCAGCATTTGCCTGAAGGGCCAGGGGATAAGCCCCGTGGTGAACATTTCACTGAAGGAGCCCAAGCTGGATCTGGGCTACGTGCTCGCAGGAGAGGAGACCTCAGAAACCTTTAAGGTATGCTGCCTGTTGGATGTGGACCATATGGCAATCTTTCTGCAGAATTGCAGAAACAGTATGCAAGACGGCCTTTGTACATGTATATGCACAAACCGTGTCTTGACTCCATAGTGTTTTCCTAATGGGGGCATGATCTTGAGTGAGGAAATTACAAACATGGCTTTCTTTAGGCATCTCGTAGGTGGAACTGATTTCCTTTGTTCACAATTGAACTGTATGTTTTAAGTCATGTAAACAAGGTTAACAAAAGGTTGTTTTGTGCTATCATGTTCATGGTCAAAAAACCTGTATTGAGAAGTGAAATTTGCGAGACTAACGTTGTAACGGTAACATTTTGAGTTTCATATTCATGGAACTCGTGGGATAAAGGTAAGAAGTTCAACAATTTTAGTTGATTTGAGGCACTCTAATTTTTGAGTGAACACAATGACTTGCTCATTCTTTTCACAGCTAGAGAATGTGTCCCCGCTCGCTGTGGACTACGTCATCAAGCTCGCCAGCCTTTCCTTCCGGAAGCATGCTGACCAGCAAGGCTTGCCACTCTTCATCCGCCGTGACGCTGCAGCAGACGCCGGAGTGGTTGGCAAAGCCAACCTCAGTGGGAGCAGTGTCTTTGACTGTGTTCCCTGCGAGGGCACATTGCAACCAGGTATGAAGCTGGCCTTGAATGGATTTGGGGCAAGCCAGTTGCAAATGTTGAAATTCCAACAACAGAGTTTGGACATAACAGTGATTGATTTTTTGACGCAACAGTACCAGAATTTTGACCGTAGAGAAATGGAATTTACCCCACCATTAATTAGCAGGCAGAAAACCAGTTTCTGAATTTGGATATCTTGTGCACTTTCTTGTCACTCTGTTTTGCAGGTAGCAAGACGGAGATCTCAGTCTTCTTCCGCCCTGACCACCCCTCCGAGTGCTTCTCGGATGTGGCCCAAGTGGTGCTGTACGGAAAGCAGGAGGCCCATACCATTCACCTGACGGGGGCGGCCAAGTCCAAGATCATGTACCTCCTGGGAGGGGATCAGATGCAGCCGCCCGTGGAGAGCCTGGCCGTTGTGCCGGTCACAGACGAAGAAGAAGGTCGTTCACCTCCTTCCTGCTCAGTTGAAACCTAAACCCTTGTTGGATTCTCTCAGGCAGGCTTTGCAACGGAATGCAACACAGCTGAAGTGGGAACCAAAACGCAACAAAATGCAACACAGTTAAAATGAGAACCCTGAAAAATACAACAAAATGTAACAATCTCCAAGAGTAGATTTAATACTAGTAAATACTAGTCTAGGCAATATTAAGATTATGCAGTATGCTTTGCAACTTATGTTGATTATTGAACGCAACATTATGCAACCGTTGCTGTGACCTGTTCTTTTTGCAGGGTTAACAGCATTGTCAAAAGAGAGATGTCTAACGTTTTTGCTTAGCATCAGTACCCTGTCTCTTCTCAGTTTGAAACTCTTCCCGTATCTAATAAAGATGAAGTCTGTTACTTCATTTTTACAGACCCTAAAGCTCTCCCTCCAGCGATTCCAACATTGCTGTCATTCCGGGCCTTGAGCAAGGAAGACGAAACCGTCCCAGCGAGTAGGCAGCTGCAGGTGGGATGCATACGCACCATGGCCATCAGCCAGAAGAAGGTTTGTACCCTTGCTGCTGTTTGCTGCTGATTCCCACTAGGCCAGTGTCTCAAGGCTGCATTTTAACCCCCTCGTAGTTGTGCTTAATATGTTGCAGCTGTTCTGTGGTCACCTGGGGAGTCAGGCTTAAGTGGCATGAAGGCCCAGCCCACTTGACTTGATTTTGATAAATTACAAGGTACCAATTCATCTCTGGAACCTATTTTTAAGAAGTACTATGCACCCAAGGAATGAAATTCAGTTTAAAAAAAAAAATTGAAGAATAAAGTTTTTAACGACCGTTTAGCCTATATCCACGCATGCAACGTTTCCTCGGATCAGCTAATATTTTTGTTTTTCACCTCTCACTCATGCAATTGGAAACTGAAAAACACCTACCAAGTCTTGTAAAGATTCAAATTTCCTTGTTTCTTGTCGAAGTCCAAGTTGCATGGCTTTATATCACTGCATTATTTCTTGACAAAAAAGAACGCTTTTTGTTATTGTTTATTTAAGAAAGGTTGATTACATAAAGATGAAAGCGGATAAATTTTTTCAATCAATTTTAATATTTGCTTAAGAATTTTTTGAGCAGATTTGTTACCATCAATATGGTGAACATGGCATTACATTTGCGTTGGACAGCATATATTTCCCAATGCCTCCACAAATTACTGAAATTTGCAATAAAAATTTGACATTAAAAACCCAGTTCGATCCCTGGGATTGCTTTGAATGTACAGTTCGGTGAACAGGTATAGTACATATATGCATCACAGCCTTCAGAATTAGTAGTGTTTTGTTTTTTGACAGTGCATATCAAGAGAAATACCTGGGGGTGAGGTTTACAAAAGTTCTGAAGGGGTCTTCAAAAGCTTACTATCCCCTTCCCAGATTCTGGTTTAGTTTGTTTTTTTAAGCCAAACAAGTGGGAAATAAACAGTCTCAATTTGTATCACTCTTTTGAGTTTGGAAATTTCTTTTTGACAAGCCCAAAGAACTTCCATTAGGTGGTAGAATAGCCCCCTCTATTTTTGTTGAGCATCAGAGCTGTAGGGGGGAATGACTAATTCACGGACGGTTTATTTAGTGACACGTTCAACAATCCACCTATCCAAAGACTTTTACTCAGGCATTGCACAAGTCCAAATGAGGCACTTGGCTTCTCCTTTTATGGCAATAAACAAGAAAGAAATATGTATTTAAGACTCAGTTTGTGAGATTCAGTCCCAATTACAGTTGTTGAATTTGTCCATAGAGCTCAGGTTTAAATGGTTGCCATCAAAATTGAGGCATATTTGCAGTGCCCAGATGATGCTGTTTTACACGTCTCTCATTGTTTTTTATTTTCCTTGTTTTCTTATGCTTTTGCTCTCTCTAAATGTTTAGAACGGGGAGTTCTTCTTTGACAATCTGAACATGGTGACACCCAAGGGGTTTGCTGTGGACACCCAGCGCGGCATGGTGGAAGCCGGCATGACCAGAGCGGTCAACATCACCTGGACACCCCCAAAAGGGCATGATGTAAGTTCTGTTTATCAGTGTTGTCTGACTACGGACTCGAATCCAAATTCAAATCTGCTTTTTCATAGACTCAGACTCGTACATACTGGACTTGGTCTCAGTGGTAAGGACTTGAGTCCGGCAAAAATGGAGTTATGTTGATCACAGGTGGATCACTCCGATGTGACACACTATGCACAGATGCTGTCCATGTGGATCCTGATGCATCACTGTACCTACACTGGTTTCAGAAATTGTTTTGCCCATATTGTTTTATGTTGAATATTTGGTCTGGAATTAGTCCATCACTCCCTATCATGCATTGGAGATGAACATTTCGACAAGCATTTCTGTCTCTTACCTAGCCCTGGATGAGACTGACAGCATTATTACAAAGTAGATATTGAAAGCACCCAAAAAGTTTTATATGGATTGTTGTTGCAACATTTCTGCTGAATGTTTTGTTGATTTTGCATCAACCATTTTTCCTCCTCAATCTTTAATAGTCCTAGGCCGTACAGTTTCATCAGTAAAATTCAAAAGCTGGCACTAACGTTAACATTTTCCCAGCATGGAAATCCCACCAATAATTCACCTTTGCTGTGACTTCTTATTCCCCGCCCCTTCACTCCAGCCGAATATGGTTATTGAGGCCAGCATTATCTTCAACCTGAAGGGGGATGTGCTGGAGAGGTACAACCTCATCCTGCGAGCACAGGTGGTTACAGAGGAGATGCCTTCACCATAGCAACAGCACCCTAGCAACAGTTTCCTAGCAACAGCAACAAATTGAAGAACTGGCTCACTTCAACAACACTGAGAGTTTATCTCTTCAGAGTTGTTTAAATGCCTTGGATTCTAGATACGGTTCCCTAAATTTTCTAATAGTTTAGTAAGAGAATGTCAAAAATGCTGTCTCAAGTAATACGCATGCGTATGGATATGTGTACTTGTATATCAAAACTAGGAGGAAGGTTTTGAAATGGATATCTGTAAAAACTTACAATTCTTTGACATGCCTCTTCTGCGGGACGTTTCCTTTGTTTCCTTGTCGCTATGAAAGCCCAGAGAAATTAATCGTTTTCCTCCTACACACACTCTTTCAAAGTTAATTTTTTCCAGGATTTCCTTGACTCTTCATTTTGTCGTGGATAACCCTGACAACCACTGCCTCTGAAACTGTGCCTAGAGTGGCAAAGGTTGTGTGGATCTGTGCAAGTCCATGCATCTTCATTGTGGGGACCTGTGTAAGTCCACACATGTCTTTATACCCTGCATCATGTGGACTTCACTTTTTTCTGCAGGTCCTCATAATGCACGTATAAGCGAGGACACCTTTCCAGCCTCCATTTGGCATAGGTCCCAATAATCTTCAGCCAGTCTAAAGTCTTCGAATATGCCCCATTCTTTTCCTGCCACCCCACCCAGCAGAAGACAGGAGAATAAATTTAGCACCAAAGTGTTTACACGATACGTTCTAATACTCCCAGTCCAGAGTCTCATCACACAAATCCAAACACATCACCATTCGGTCGTAAAACCCCGCACATTACATTGTTATTATCCAACCAAGCACATTGATGAGCCTCGCTACCGTTCTTCAGCTGAATGGAAGAAATAGAAGTTTGAGATGGCTGAATGGGCACCGGAAGCACTTTTAACCCTAACCCCCTTGGGTGTATGTAAAATCGTATTGAAATTGGAGGATTTGGGAGTTTTAGGGTTAAGCTAGAATGTTACAACTTAGGAGCCTGGAAATTGCCCTGTGGCCCTTCTGGCGGTTGAGGCATAAGTTTGGAGCTTATTTTTTTCGAATTTTCGAATTGTTATTATGATAGTCGCTGATCAAATTTGCATGGACATAAAGACCTGTACAATAGTATGCCATTAGTTGGTTTATGACATGGAGATCGCGTGCGGCGCGCAAATTTCACATTTAATGCTGACACAGATTTAATTAAGTAAAAAGTTGTCTATGTCTATTAACGGTCTTTTTCCCGGGATTAATGTTCTTTGCTCTCCCAGTGCACTAGTGGATTTTTTTTAGAATGAGAGAAAGGCAATTTTTTCTTAGCCTATTTCGTTTCTTTTCCCTCCAATTTTTTTTAATGTAAAATCCTCCCTAAATGCAACTTCACAACCCCCTGGCCAGGATTGCCATGGAAGTTACACAAAAATTCTCAAATGTTTCGGCAGTGGCGTAACTAGGGCTGTTATGTCTAGGGGCATCCGGGGATGCACTTATTTTTTTCAAAGGGCTACCAAAAGGCAGTGAGCTGCAGCAGAGGTTGTTCATGGATTCCAAATGGGGGGGGGGGGTCATCCAGGGGCACGGGTATTCGCTGGGGAGCACGTACCCCCCCCCCATAGTTATGTCACTGGGGTTTGGTCCCCTAAAAAAAAATGGCATCCCCACCCCGTCCAAGAGGTGATTCTGGATCCGCATTTGTGTAAAGGCGCTGTACCCGTTTCAAATAGGTATCTCAATTCCCTTATAAAATGTATTTGCAGGCCCTGTGTATGTTGTGACGATGACTACTTCCACATAATATGACGACTAACCTCGTATCTAATAATGCCTGCTCCTGTTGATTCAGGTCGTTTGTCCTATCTGGGCTTGCGTAGATGCTGATTGAAACTGACTCCCGACCCCAAGGCTAAAGCAGGCTATCAAGACAGAAAGCTAATCCGAGGCGCGGTCTCTTTTCTGATTGCGGAGCGCTCTAGTATGTCTGTGCTTGTTATTAAAAAAGCGGGAAAGATTAACGTTAGAAGGGATGGGGAAAGTTAATGTGCTTTCGTTTGTGATATTTACTAACTTATATTCTGTATATAACGAGTCACTGGAAAGATATTTGGTCGCATTTTCGTGGTTTTGTGTGTTTGAACAGATTTGCTCTGTACAGGGTTAAGCGAACGTTGTCTTAAATTTTAATACCTTTGAAAAATTCTCTGAAGTGCTGTAGTGTGCGAATTTGAATTTTTAATATAATGTGTAACTGAATTTGAATATAAAGGAGTGGATGTTGGACAATTTAGTGACTGTTATTCACACCATTTGTATGATTTTGTATGAGTTTATACACACCTTGTTGAATCAATTTGACACTTTTGACACATCAATTTTACATTTTATTAATTAGTTCAAATCTTACCATAATTACACTAAAGTTGCTTTCACGAAAGGGTTATTCCATTAGTTATGCTGGAAACGTACCGTATCGATTCCAGTCGTTTCCAGTAAAGTGCAAAACGAACAAGCAGCTAGCGGCGACGGAACCTTTGGAATTTTCGATTTCGGAAAACTTTAAACTGGATTGTTTCGTATTGACAACTTCTTCGGTGTTCAAAAAGTTGAACAAGTAAGGCGAGATTGTCTGTACCTCTTTTTTTCCCCAAATTGTATTTCACACAACTGTTTTAAAAGGAAGTGACTTATCTGCAAGCTTTATGAGAAATACGCTCAATTTGCAAACCGTAGGCTGACGTTAGCTGCATGCCGATGCCCGAGTGAAGTTTGTGTAAACAGTTGGGCTCGTCTGTCTAAAGTACAGCGGCGCCAGTAGGCTCATGTAGCTATATAGATGCTAGTTAAGCTCGGCATTCTACAGGGGAATGCGTGACTGAGCACTAAAGAGGAATCCCAACACGACGCCTTTAACGTAGATCTGCGCACTTCCGCGTTTGAAAAAGAGGCTGTATGTGTCAGTTTCAATTCTTAATACGATCAGACGATTGAAAGTAAGGAGTTGAGACACAAAATGAATAAAGGAATGTTAAATTCAAACTTTTCAGGCTGCAAATTTTTGTTGAGTCTTTCAGAATGACTCGACACGTGAAATCGAGAGAAAAAACAATGGCAGTTTACCGCGGACTAACGTACCTGCGATGGTCGTGTATCTAGTGCAGTGGGCGTGGTTTTTCAACTAAAGTGGTATCACACTTATGAACCGGATACTCCATGTACTGTGTGGACTCCGCAGGCACGAGCGACAAAGAGAGCCTCGGTTTCGATGCGGATTTGCGCAGATGGCGCTAATGTGAAATCCGTCTAAGAAATCGTGTCAGTGGGGACTCCATATATAACGAAAATGCCTGGGCCTGCGGAACACTTATTCCTCGCCTTGGCAAGCCGGAAGTCCTATTCCTTTCCAACACTCAAACCCCTGACACAAAGCAACATATTAAGCGCCGCTGATAAGATAAGACAAGCCTGCTTTCGCCTAGCATGCAGTAGTACCCTACACTAAGCGATGTTTTCTCAGGGTGCATTCCACCAAATGGTTGTATTTCTGCGCGCGAGCTCATTGATATTCTGTGATCTCACGGGGTTTTTACAATAAGACAGGCCATAATCAGGAGGCATCATAGAAATATTTCTAATCTCGAATTTAGGACTGATAGTCTCCAGTTCAGGGTATTTCTTTCACAAAAAGCCCGAATCCGACCTATTTTGAATAGAGACGGGCGGCTACATTCAAAAATGAGCGCTTAGTTTTATTGCTATTTTGGGGGGTACCTCGTTCAAAGGCGAGTAATTTTTTTCGTGGCTAACCCCCATGAAATCGAAAAGAAAAGTGATATTCTGGCCATAATCTTGAATTTCCAGTGACAAAACGGAGGCCAACCTCTTCACGAGAGTCAACAGGCGGCGCTTTTTCGGTCCGATTTTGCACTGTTTTCTATTGGTGTAGCGCAACCCTCAGCGACGGATTCTCCTTTGGTAGTAACTGCGCATCGCTGGTTCACGAATAACTATGAAACGCAAGCGTTTCTGTCGCATCGCTACCAACAAAATGTCGCATCGCTACCAACAAAAATAAACACTCCCAACCAACGTGGCTCTTTTCAATCGATGAGGGGTGCTTATGCCCAGGGTTGAATGCTACAAGCCTGGTGCACACCAGAGCTCTCCGCGTTTCGCCAGCGCGGTAAGAAGCACACGAGACTTTTAAAAGCAATTACAAATCGAAGGTCTTCGAAGTGATTGTATCAGTCATTGAAATCTTCAAAATTAATTAGGTGTATTTATGGCGGTATTAATTCAAACCTTGGGATTTACATACATTGCAGTTCGTGTCAACGTTAATAAGCGCGGTTAAATTTTTTTAAAACACTTCTCAACTCGTAGATTTATGTTTTCCTTTACCCGCACCTCTTTTCCTGCTTGTGGTATTTTGTTTCTGCGGGTAGAAAGTATTTGAAAGCTTTTATCGAATTTATTGTACTGATAGAAACTGAAAAAAAAGTCGGAAAAGGTATCAGAACGAAAGTGCTGGATTCTTTAAACATTGAAAACAGTATTCTTTTTTTTAAGTTTACACCTTAGAGATATCCACATTACATCACTACCCTTGTAGGGTACCCCTCCCCCACAGGTATACCTGTGGATACCTATCTGTTGGTATAGGCTCCAGGAACACCATGTTCACGCATGAATTCGCATCTACTCCCAATCGCGCCCGGTCTTGTTCAAAACTTTCTGCAAAGACGATTATATACAAAGCCAAGGGTTGCAATCTTCACTGTCATTTTACTCCCTCTCTCAGGGAAGTGTGGTCAGAAGGAAACATACGAAAAGAGTGAAATGAGACAAAAAATAACATCCAAGAAGACGATATTAAAAAGACATGAAAAGGAAAAACCGAAGAGCACTCGGAGGAACACCCCAAAGAAAGAAAGATTCTGTCCAAGGGCTCTCCTAACTGAAAAGTTTACCTTAAATTTTGAAAGACATTTATAGTGCAAAAGTCCGTTTATAATTCATGCTGAACGGATACCAAGGTTGTCGATGGCCCTGTAACGCTGTGATCAACGGACCGAGTTGCAACATTGGAAATTCTTCTAAAAAGAATCTCTGTGCCCCCACCCCCGTTTTTAGTTGGTTTCTTCATATTTTTGTGAATAATTACAAGACAGGACGTTTTACTGCGGAGCCACATTTTTTAATAATCTGTGTCAAAAAATCCTTTTAATTTTTTAAATAGATTTTGCGCTGTATCAAGTAACTGATTGTTTTTATCATAAAAATGTGTTGTCCATGAAGCCAGGTTGTGGTCGTCAGCGCGGTATAAAATTGGCTGAAGCCAGTTACGATCTGAGGGACAGCCAGTTCTGTGTCAGTGTAAAACCTGTTTCAAATGAAATCCTAATTAATTGCTTTGCTAACAATGAAGACCAACTTGAGGTGTCGGATCCGGCGGGAGAGGAGTCTTTTCTTTTCACCAACGACAAAAGTAATTCCGGATGTATGGCTTGAGTGGGAAAAGTTAAACTGAATTTTAGACCTTGAGGCATTAATTGGAAATATTTATTGCAGGCATCAAAAATTGACTCACGTTTGAAAAAGCTGTACGATTCTAATTTGTATTCTCGATCCTGCCATTTAAAAACCATGTACATAATATATAAGAAGATCAATAAATCCACAAGGAAATAATAATTGATGGTAAATTTGCTGGTATAAGTTTAATTCAAATTCTAATTTCAACTTTGTGATCTCGATAGTTCCAAAGTATCGTGTAAATGACATTTCAAGTGATCTTTTTTTTTCTGGGTTGATTGCTGTCAGTATATTTGTTTTCCGAGGTTTATCCCACACGCAGTTGCGGTGCGTCAGTGTGGCTGGAAGTCCTTAAAAAGAGCCAAGCGCAAAGCCAACATTCTCATTGTGATCGTGAGTTCGAAGACGTGCCACGATGATGCTGTCACTCGCCCTCTGCCTGTGCCTTACCTCGTCGGTGTTTGCTGGACCAGCGGTGGTAAGTGTCCCCATTGATTTGTGATAGTTCTTGACTAGCACGATAAATAAAAACAAAAAACTTTGGAGATCACAAAACACGTACTTCGTAACGTCGACGAGGATGCCAGACTGTTAACGGGAAAGAAAACCTGTTGGAAGACACAGAATTAGCAAAGACCTAAGACAGTGCCTAAGAGGCACAGGATCGTTAAAACTTGTGTCAAATATTTTTGTGTCTGAAGAGCTGCATGACTTTTGATTAACGAGATATGCTGATGAGACTTCTCCTTCGCCTGAGAAAGACTAAAATCCCTCGAGCAAGATCTCATTGATGCCGTTTAAATTTCCGCCCTCTTGTTTTTCCTTGTTTTCAATTTTGCAGCCACACCACAGGTTCGACAATGAAGAACTTCAGCGTTACTTCGGTGTCGACAGCCACGAGAAAGGTCCGAGTCTACTCCTTCATATCACTAAAAACCGTTGTCAGATGTCACTTACAGTGACTCACTTTAAATTAGTGAGTCAGAAATACAAAATCTCAGTTTTAGTATTCAGAGTTCAAATGACTTTATAAATCCATAATATGCATCTTTGTGATTCTCTTCGTCTTCTGGTTTTAGCACCTGAGTACGAGATTGTGTACCCACAGTACGTGACTGCCGACAGCAAGCGCGATATGGGTCGCAGTGCCGTTGCAGCCTCTTACCTTGACGTTCATGTTGAGGCATTCGGTGAGGCCTTTCACATGGCATTGGAGCACGACGACAGTAACTTCAAACCTGGACTCGAGGCTCATTACGTCACTGAGGAGGGAACTATCAAGGTGCCTGTCCGCACAGACTGCATTTACACCGGCAAAGTCGTTGGGGAAGTTGACTCCCTCGTGTCGGTCACCACTTGTGCGGGTTTGGTAAGTTTGATACACAGGAGTTTTTCCTGCACAAACCTATACGGCTGAGAACGAGGCATGCTTTCAAAACAATTTTAATACCGTGCTGAGCTGTTCATAGCTTTTCACGCGGTAGGACATTGTTGCTTGGATACTTGTAAACTAAAACAGAAACCTTTCGCAGAGCTAAAGGAAAGCCTGGCTAAGGGCCTCGCCAGGTTTTAAGCGATTATCACCACTGACAGTTGCCTCGTGGGAATTATTGAACAAATTATTTGTGTTAGGCTCTTACAGTTGAAAACATAACTAAGCATACGGAAGAAAGAATGGATGCATTTAAAAGCTATCTGGCAATAATTGGTTGAAAAGGTCCATTTCCTAATTGCAAGCACATACATTTAGGAAAGGGGTCAGTGTAACGATGTTTAGAGATATATCGACGGTCTTTCTAGTGAACATGTGATATACCCAAACAAAGATTTTTCATTGAGCCAGCAGAGAAATCACAACCGTATACTGGTTAGGGACAGTCTTGAAAATTGTACCCTTCATCCTTGCTAAGATTAAAATACATAAAGCCAAGGTACATCTATATATTTCATATACTTCTGAAGTAAGACATGCTTCGAAAGTATCAATACCTGCAATATTTGTAATTAATTACCTGTTACGACCATGGTGGCTAGGTCTTCTGACTTACATGGGTAGACTGATATGCAGTGAGACGATTCTTCACCCTTGATGATGTGCATATATCAATATAGTCCATCGGAAGACTCAATAACCAAACGGACAATAATCACTTAGTTATAACCACTTTTTGAAGAAAATCATTTCAAGGGAGCGATACCTAATTAATTGCTTGAATGTTTTTCGCTGCGTGCCATAATGCATCCCTTTGGTATTAAAGAACACCGCATGAAATATATCACACCACCAAATAATAAGTGACGTTAGATATTAAAAAAAATTAACACACGAAAGTAGGAGACTGAATTCATCTTTTATATCCTGTTTTATTTTCGGTCTTGACCGTTTTCTTAAGAGTTTTTTTCCCTCGCTATTCCTGTTATGACAAATTATCTTACACTTTTTTAACATTTGGCACCAATCCTGTTTTACACTGTTTAAGCCATTTCAAATTCAATAACAGAATGTTTCAAAGACGAGGAATTTTACATGGGCAAAATATATCGACTTTGCTTGCACAAAGAGTTGTACCTTGTTTTTCCTGACACCTAAGCGCATATTTCTTTATTTCAATTTAATTTGATTACATCGTTTTCGAAGGACTTATGACCTCAATGTGCCACTGTTCCTTCAGCATACCAGATGACCATTCCGAATGGTCGACATGGTCAAATAACCGCACAGAAACTCCAAGTAAAAAGAAAACAGATCTCAGCAAGTGTGCCAAAAGAAGTATTCGGAAATTCTCAATCTTAATTAGTCAGGAACCAGGCAGTTGCAGGAAATGTAACTGTGGGAGAAATATCCATGCAAATTGCGTTGCTAAGAAGTCAGGTCATTTGGCGACTTTGTCGTAAAAATGGGCAAAACTCAACAGCAAGACATTGAAACTACCAACTTGAATTCGAAGACTCTGTAGTTCACGATATCATGCTACACTCACTCACAAATCGATTTTTGCCCTTAGCAATACAGCCTTTCCATTGATCAGTCCTCTTAATTTCCCCTCAAAGATGGCAGTTATGAATCATGCCTCTGGACCGACGTACATTGAGCCGTTGGATGACGAGCACGCTTTCAAGAGAGACATTGGGCGTGGCCTTCCCCACGTTGCCTACAAGAACCGACCAGATAATGGCGCCACTTGCCCAGTCACACGTAAGTATAGATCGGGGCTTATATGCTTGGGGGTTGTATTTGAATTCCCACCATACCAAAATCAAACCTTTAGAGACACTCTTAACCCACATACTAAAATGTCCTGTTATCATGCCTGCATCGGGCAGAAAATGGTTTGTAGAAAATTTAAAAATGTCACATGAAGCAACTATACAATTTGTGTAGCAAATAGTTATTTTATGTAAGAAATGATTTACAGTAGGGTTGATTAATTTACCAAACTTGATATTCTAAATACTGGCTCTTTGCAAATGGATGTGCTGGTCATGAATCTCATTTGTTACACAACATTTCTATGTAGTTGGTTCAGCTTTAGGAAACCTTGAGACGAAATGAGAATAGCACCCACAGTTGTACAGTATTTTCTCTCTTATGAGCCCTTATGGAAGTTCCAACACGGCGTCGTAAATAGGCTGGAAGTAACAATTTCAACTCGTGTCGAGTACTGTGAGCGTTGCCATTGGCAGCCTTCCACGTGACATAGAAACTGGACAGCAATCTGGCCCGCAGCACATTCTGAACAGGAATTATGCCAGATGCAAATTTCGAAACCACAACTTCTAACGTCGAGTCCTGACAAACCTGTTTATATGTATTTCGTCCGCGCAGTCGGAGTTCGGTATCGACTAAGCTAGTTTACATGAATTTCGTTCGGGCAGTCAACGTTCGGTGTCGACTAGGCGACTGTAATTTTATGGTAATCCCCACCTCTTCCCATTTAAAAATTCTTGGAGAAAACCAAGGTACAGTACCCAAATGAAAGGTTAAATAACATTTTGGTGGCTCACTGTTACTTAATTTTTCACAGCTGACTCTGAGTTTGTAGTGTACGAAAACAAAGAGACTAATGACGATAAAGATGACGTCGACCCAGAATCCACCAAGTATCTCGAGCTTGCTCTTGTTGGTGACGCCGTGCTGTATGATCTGCGTGGAGGAAATACCCAGCATTGTTTGACAACACTTTTCAACGCGGTAAAATGTATTTCTGATCCGTGTATGTAGCATTTACATTTTATTCCTACCTTAGCTCTGCCATCCGAAAGATGACCTCGAGGTGATTACTTGCGACCTTGATCATGCTTTGGAAGTGTATTACCTGTGCTAAAATTCAATTTGATATTTGTTTTGACACAATGACGGACAACGGTGCTTGGAATGTGTCAGCTACAAACTAAAGAACAATCAAAATCCGTGACTTTGAGGTGTTGATTGGTCTCGCTTTCACCAATCAAATGGGATAGCCTATCATCCAGTCACGTTAATTTGCACGGCATTATTCTTTGTTCAGATGATTTAATGAAATTTAGATGCTTTTTAACAATGGTATTAAGAAGCAGGAGTTGGAATTTCCAAACTTCGACTGGATTTATTGAAAAAAAAAAGGAAAATAGTACCAATATTTTTATAAGTTTTCTTTCTTTGTAAATAGGTGAAGAACGTCATGCAGCTCAGTTCTTTGGCTGGAAGCAACCTTGTGCCCCAACTGGAGAGCATGATCATCTTCACATCAGCACAGGTATGCGTAATATCATCAATATTACCCCCACCGAACAAACGTAATTAGTATTTGTATGTCAACACCAGTTCTGTACTATTAGACGAAGTGATCATATCTTAAAACTAGTTGATTAACTAGTAATTAATCATAGGAGCAAGGCAGACGTTTTGTACAAATCGACATTTCCCTTTTTTGTGGCGGATAAAGTACAGATTTTTTTGAACTTGGACACCAAATGTGTTTATGTACTCACAACAATTTACAATAAACCGGTGAGATATATGACGATCTATATTTTAGTATAGTCTTTTACCCTAAATTGATGTAGATACCAACCTCCCAAGGCGTCCAACTATTTGTAAAATCTGTTCGAAAATGGCAAAAGTTTATACTAAAAGTGACCAACATCTGGGTAATTTACCGTTGCCCAAACTTTTTATTGCCCACTATTTTTACAGTTTATACTTATGGTGTATCATAAAATTAATTTCTATTTTTTTTATTACAAGGTATCTCAAGACTATAGCTAAAGAATCCAGGCATGAGTCAGGCATGACATTGAAATTCAAGAAAACGTTTAATTCAAAAATTTTTGGATTTTCGACCTTATGGTGATCAACTGACTCAATAATTAGGCCTTTTTACCAGAAAGCAGAGAAGTGCACCGTAGATAGAGACTGAAATTGAGAAAAGTAATTCAGATTTTATTTCATAGTTATTCAATTTATTTGCATGCACGCATGTGAAATGTTGTAAAAATGAGCCCTGATCGAGCTGGACCACTGAAGGGCGCAATTTTGGTCGGATCTGCACTTCGCTGATTTATGAACGACAATGAAATGCACACGTTACTGACGCGTCGTTGCCAACAAAATGAACAATACGACCAACATGGCTTGTTTCAACCGAGGAGAGTGTGGGTCTGCTGAACGCGGATAGACGTACACATAACAAACACAATCGTTTTTTTTTTCTTCACAGTCGGGACTGAACACCTGCCCAGACGCCTCACAGTCGATTGGATATGCAAGGTCGTGGCATAGTTCCGTCAGTCGTTCGTGGGACAATGCCGCTGTGCTCACTGGGTAAGCTGGCTAGTTTCACATGACATCTCGGCTGTAAGCTGGCTGTGGCACTGTACTGTCCCATTCGAGACACCACTCCTCCGTGCCGCCTGTGATGTCTAACACAGGCGGCAGTGGCTGAGGCTGTCTACAGCGGTGTTATCTATGGAGCGAAAACTCAAAGTCGTAGTCCTTACAACCATTAGGGACACTGTCAATGTGACTGACTGTAAAGGACCACCAGCGATGGGGCGATGTCCAGAATTTGTTTTAAACAAAAGACTGGGCCTTAACCAATTTTGTTGAATACATAACCCTTTCCAGCATCAACTAAAACTACATGAAAAACTACATGAAGAAAAACAACTGACTATAGCAAGATCAGACGTTCGGAACACCGTACTTAGTGCTCCATCGGCTGAGCAACCCATGCAGCCCCAGTTGGATTGCTCTTCCATGTTGGTTCTTGTGAATTTTGTTTTCCTCTGGGGGCGCCATTCAAGCTAGGAAGCCAGAGCTGTTGATAAAGAGAGCTACAATACGAGTGTCTCTATTTGTTGGAACCTAATGGTTTATTCATTGCGTCAGTGCACGTCCACAATTAACGCGAGATGTCCCTCGCGAGTCCATGCGCGTCCATGCGCATGTAACTGTGGCTGCTACCGACACTAAAATAGACTTGCCCCGGCACTTTTACTGTTTAAAGCATTTTCAGCTTGTACGCAGGACATCATACAACCTCGTTTGTCTGGTTCCCAGACATAAATAATAATACAGAAAAGGCGTCATCTGAAAAAGGGTACCCCAATGTGGGGAACTAAAGGGGACTTCTTTATTGTACATTACTCAGCCAAAACACGTAAAGATTACGCAGTAGCAGGATTCCACTCGACTAAGAAAGTTTGGTAGCTTTTGGACATCGTTTTTTACCAAATAATAAACTTCTTTATTTTGCTGATGCGCAGGTCTACGGCTACGCGCGCGCTAACCAGAAACCACAGACTTTTTGGCCTTGGCTTGGGATCAATAGCCCCAGTACACAATGCAACTTGGACAGCTGTGTACGGAAATCACTCAGAAAACCCAAGGATACGACATTCTATTGTGAGCATTCTGGACATTGTTTATGGGCATTGTATTTGTTTTGGTCTGGTATGCAATCCAATGAACTCCGACCCCCATTGTAGCTTGGCTAGGCCAACTATAAGTTTGTTGTTTAACAACCCTACAGATGGGAAATGAATTCCGGAAGAACCCTTGGCATAGCCTACGTTGGCAGCTGTGGCACCAGTTATTCCATCTCCGTTTCAACCTTCCGCAACCTTGATACTACCAACGTGCTTGCTCACGAGATCGGACACAAGTAAGCACTTTTCATTTTCAACAAATTCAAACTTGTGCATGTATTTATCCAATTCGTTATGAATTGATTATCGTTCCGTGTCATCATTATTTGTCAACGGGCCCATAGATACAGTAAACAGAGTGTATAGAAAACAACAAAATATCTTTGGTTTGGGTTTTTTTTCGGAGATTGCGTTAGTTTTACACCAAAATGCCTCGTAGCACCTTAAAGCCACACATTCCCTCTTTCCAATGATAATGTTATTTATTCACACGCAGTCATGGATGGCTGAATGATCATTTTTTTGGGGGGGGGACGAGACAAAGAGGGCTTGGAACCAAGTTTTCACTTGAAATGATAGCAAGACTTTGAATTGCTAAAGAAGCATGAATATGAATATTATGAATAATAATGATTGTCAACTCAATGTGTGCGAATGACACGTGCACACCGAATGTACGTGCAAGGATTTGGACATCGTGTAACCCATAATACTTTGCGTGTCTGTCATGCTGACGCATTTCCCTACCAGACTTTTTGAAAGGCATCGGAACCTAGGCTTTCCAGCTTCCGATAAGGGTGGTAGGGAGTAGCGTGCAAAAGTGTCAGTGGCAGGTGCAAGACGATCTTCATTTGACAGAGGGTACAGCCCAAGATGAAAACACTGATCGTCACACGGAAAAGGAATCACAGAACCCTATTAAAGGCTCGTAAAATGGCTCTAGGAGTTACTGCACGTATTTTAGGTCCACCGTTGTGCTGACATTGACTAATAGTTTTTTATTATAAAGACCAAAAGTTAGTATCAAGTAAGGTTCGAGATTAATATTGGTACACGGTCTGTCTATTACCCTGAATTTCTTCCACCACAGTCTGAGTATGCAGCATGACAGCGATGGAAATAGCTGCTCGTCTAGTGGTTACATCATGGCCGCCATTGTGAATGATCACCGCGCAGATCCCAATTGGTCGTCGTGCAGTAGAAGTTACTACAACAACTTTGTCGGGTTAGTACAGGCACAGCTAAAGAATAAGATTTTGTCAAAATTAAATTTTTACTGGGAGCTGGGTCGTTATAGCAGGATATGGGTTCCAACAATCCAAGTTGAAAGTGGAATTTTTTTCCAAAGGAGTGGGTTACACGCATGCGCCCAGCAGAAATGTTTTGGAACTCACTGCCTTCTACCGGCTACATCTGTTAACTTGTGGTTAAGTGCTCTTGGTTGAAAGGGCCTATATCAAATGCATGTTTGTTTTCCCATTTTAAAAGGTATTTTGGTACTAATTGCTTCATGCGAATGCTTGGCATACTGACGAGCAAATCTGTAACATCATGTCAGGAACCAACGTTAATCTTGTATTAATTTGTGCACAAATTTTACCGAATTTTTTGCAAAGGTGCAGTCTTAAACTTCTTTTCTTTTGTAAATCAGCTTTTTATAAATGTAAAAAAATAGTGTAAAGGAGAAAACATGATACACGTATGTAAACGAAAAAGGGCTTCATTTGAAGACACTCGGTATTTTTGTTGCTTCATATTTACAGGAGCAGGTCCTGCTACAACGACTCTTAGATCACGAGATCGGAACTCCGAGCGCCTTCCATTTTAACACCGCGCGACAACTTACAAGGACAAAATGAAGTGTTTGGTAACAACGGGTTACCAGTTATAAGGATACTGTAGGTCATTGTTTATGTCCGATTTGTTTACCCTTTATACGTAGCGATTTTATGGGCAATAACTGTATATATTTGTACATAATTTTTGAATTAGGTGAAGGGAATAATATTACGCAACACTGAATTCGTTGTTTGTTGTGTTTGTTCATTGTCTCTGGTCAGAAGAGAAAAGACTCGCAGGATAATGATGAGCTAATAGAAGCCCAAAGGCTCGTTGTCAAGCAAAATTTCCGTGCCACCCCTGCCCACCCTGCATTTGAAAGTTTGAGATGTTCATTGCCCATCAAAATAAGGCTGTTCCTGGGGGAACCTTTCTCCCTCCGATGCTGAGTACACAAAGTTGTTTATAGAGCACTGCCAACTTCACACTTGGTAACCAAAATGGCTGCTCTTTATATGTGCAGTACAACATGCAACTATTGTGTGCTAATTGTTCATGTGCACTTACGAATAGTACACCATTTTGGTTCCAACGATTGAGATACGCATGTCGCAACTCACTCTTTAAACAGCTCTGTGTTCAAGAGGGTAGCGCCAGCTTTAGATTTGGGAAACAGGATGGCTTTTTATTATTTATTCGGTAGAGTAGGCGACTATTGTATATATTTGAACGCACTGGCGTAAAGTAGTTGCATAATTATAATAATGTATATTCTACGAACTATATGGCAGTCATCTTTCCGGTAACTGCTTTAATCGCAGCGGGATAGTACAATGAAAGTACAATAATAGAATGAAATCTCTCACCTGGAAAATAGCTCCCATGCAAAAACTCTATTACTCCCTCAGGCTATTGGGACCTCCGTGCCGTGCTAGAATGCAGCTTGTAGAAAAGAACCAGACTTCGCTTATCCAAGTTACACCTCATACCTTTTGCTGGACCATACTGTCATTGCATTTTCAGGTCGCTGTCGGTCATGGCAGTTGCAGAGGGGGGGGGGGAATCCGGAAAACGTGAGAAACAAAGAGAAAGAGTGCCCGGCAGGCATCAGAAATGAAAACAAAAAAAGGAAAGATAAGAAAACAAAGACTTCATTGCCAGTTTTCATAAAATTCCTTCCAACACGTCCCATCCTCCGCGGACAGTTTGTTGTTGCGGAGTGTTGCGACCCCACCTTTGGGAAAGAGAGCTTTATATAGCCCACTCCAGGCCACGCTTATACTGTGTTTACTCCCAAAGAGAGGACATGGGTACTGTTATCTCAGGAAATGTCAGCTGTTTGATCAGAAATAATTTCGGCAATTAGCGCTGGGATTTTCTTTGCCGGTGTCTTCTTTGACAGTTTATGGATTCCATCATCAATGTGCCAGACACGGGGGCCCTTCCTACCAAAGGAATCAACGCCTAAATGCCTTTTTAGCCCTCACAATCAGCCACTGAACTCGTGTCCCTTTTTTACCAACTCTTGTAGCTGCAGGGCCCTCCCTTCAACCTCTCACTTGAACGAACATGTAGAAACCTGAGAAGTACGGTGGAATTCATAGAGGCAATCTACATTCACAGAATAACGTAAGCCCCTATAACAATATCCAACTCTTCAGTCATTCTTTCACTTTCTTTACAATCAACCTCTTATCAAATCTCACACCTCACAACTGTATCTTGTTTCTAACAATAAATGAAATTTTAACTGTATTCGGCAGGGCAAAAACTACTTTGATGAACAAACTATTAATTCACACGATTATCCAGTGAATTTGACTTGGATTTAATTTTGTTTAGTTGGCAAAGCATCCGAGAGGAGACACATCATTGTGCATTTCGTTTCAGGCTGTGCACATTTTCATCTCTTTCCATTTCTTTTAGATTGTCTCAGGCTTGTTCGGTTTTTTTTTAAATTATGATCTTCATACTCAAGTTGACTGTAGCCCACCTGCGGATTTGAGAAAGCTGTGCTTGGCGCTCTGATACTTGCATTCAGGCAACTGTTCATTTTCCACACACCAAACTTGCCAAGATGCTCATTCGCGAAAAAGGCTACCTTGACAAACCCCTGCAAATATTTGCACCGGCACAAACTCCTGTCAACCATTTCGCAGTATCTAAATTTCTGTGGTTTCCTGAAACAGAATATGCTAAAGCAGCAGATAACCATTACACCATATTATGCACAATTTATGTGTTTTATTTATTAGTGTTATATACGACTTCAGTTGTTAGCCATCGTGAAGAAGTTTCAAGTTGAGGTACTAGAGACGTTATCACCCATGTACCACAGCGAACAACACTCATGTTCTCGTGATCCGATACATGCAAAGTTGTGGCATATCACGTGATCGATGATCGGCCATCGGTACAAAAAAATTGACAGAAATAAATTTACCACTCTAAAAACAAAAATTCAGTTCAGATTTAGATAATCACGAGCTAAAACACGCAGTAGTAAGCCTTTTGTGAGATAAATTTGAATAAATCCTGGCACACTTAGTTATCTGATTGAACATAAACATAGCAGCGTGAGTTCCTAAGACTAAAGACACTACTGCAATACCTCGTAATTCAGGGAAAGCTTTTGCATAGCGACCGCCATCTCTGGCATGGACTGGTTCTTTTGTGCCCTTCTTATCCATTGAAAACAGTGTATAGGTGGAAGGCGTCTGAATTATGTAAATAAGCAAAAGCTTTTCCCGAATAACGAGGTTACAGCAACAGTGTCTTTTGTCAGTCAAAACTCTAAATGCAAAGACAGACACTCAGCATACGTATCAAGAAAATTTCGATTTTGTTCCACTTTGGTCCTCAGTGGAACATTGGGGCATTGTCATTTTTCCACAAACAGATGCAAACTATTCGGCTAATGTTAGTTCTGAATTAATTAAAGTTTCCGGAATGGCCTAAGGAATTTCTTGTTTGCCTTCCCACAAACAGAGGAACAATGGAGAGAACCCAACGGGGGCTCCACAAACGTCAAAGGAATGACAAAGCAACTTGAAGTCGCAGTCAAGCGATTCAGCTGCGGTATTATGATTAGGACACAAAGCATAGGCCTCAGTATGTGGTGTGCTTTGCATGGGCATTTTTGTCATTGTTGGAACCGTGAGGCGCGCTCGCGCAGCGCAGAAAGCATTGGGCAAAACATCGTTGAAGGGCACAATGCGTTAGATGACTTGCCCGCGATCAGATACTTTTCGTTAGGCCTTCAGCCACAAAAACTACTTTAGATTTTTCATTCATCAATATAAGCTTTGTTACCACGCTTTGATTTTTATCGCTCCATTGACCTTGCAATTGGCCAAGATGATGAGGAAATGGCTTTTCTCTGGAACTCGTTCGGCAATTTTACCCGTGGCCTTGTGCAGCTGCGTATCTGTCTGCTTTCACTTTAGTCTTTAGTCAGGCACGCTTATATCCACCCAGGAGCAGTTCTCTGACTAAAAAAGGAATTCAGCAAGATTTTGCAGAATGATCGGAGAAACACCCGACTCTCTATGGAACTTAAAGCACATCTCCATCCACTGATTACAGACTGAAAACATGGACGAAGTCACAGCAGGGTATTATTCAAGAAAATAGTATGATCCATGGTCTCCTGTAAGGATGTTTGTCAGTGGAATAGTGCAAGCACACGGGTGCCACCAGAGACCCATCCGGTGCTTTCATGCTCTTGATGTTTGCAAGGGAAATGGCGAGACCATCAGGACAAGCAGGAGGGTTACGAAGGACTCGTGGCAGTTCTCTGCCAGAGGACACCGATGAGTCCTCTTTGGAGTAATTTGTTTCACTGGGCTGAACCCGGGGTGTAGAATGGCTGTGCTTTTGATCCAGATGTTAATTTGTTCACTGATTCCCCAAGCACGTTTAACATCGAGCATTTTGGGAGTGTGAGGGTGTAGCACAATCTTCCTCTCTAGTGAAGTCTCCTACTTCCAGCATTTTGACGAGGTGCAGGCAGTAGCACACAGAGTTCTATCAATGAAGATGCTTCGCCTTGATTTGCCTCAGAGGCTGCGTGCCAACTTCTGTCATGTATGCGACATGAAGGTATTTGAGGTGATTCGGTATTCATGACCCTATAGATGGACTCCACAAATGGATGTTTTTGAGTACTGATGGCCCAGTTATTTCCTAGCGATTTGGGGGTGTCAATGCATTCATATGTTTTTTTAATGTATCATCTCTGGATCAGAGCTAGGGATATTGTTAAATTTGTATATAGGCAAATATGGAACACCTTGTAACAGGGAATTTAAGGTGGGGTATGGTTGAAGTTCTCTATGCTCACGGGTAATCGGATTTCCGCGCCACAACCTCGAACCTATTCTTTTGTATCAAATATCTGGTGAGTAAATATTGTGGTTGGAAATCCCTGTTCAGGGCGAGAACGAGCCTACAATAACTCTGAATTACTGACAGGAATACCATTGGCAAGGGGTGGTTAAACTGCTTCAACTAGTGACTTTTAGAGTGATCTCAGTAGTAAAGCTTTTTGTAGGGTGAAAGTTGTAAATTTGCAAATCTGTATTTTAATACTAACATAGGTCTACAAGCACACTCGTCACTTTTACATGTATGTAAACTAGATAGTGAACTAGATAAGCTTGCGGTAGCACCATGGATATATCCCTTTTTGAGTATGTGGTAAACTGAAGAAAACCGCTGGTACTCAATATTTCGGACAGAATGCTCTGTCCGTCGCCGGGAGACTAACTTCTTCTTTATAAAGTATGTAGAGGGCAGTGAGGTGTGGGGAGTATGCTAACTCAGGATCCAACTGGTGGCTGGGTACGTGTATGCTAGATTAGAACTGGTATTTTAATACAGTTGGCAGCATGTAGATC